TAAAATTATCTCCATAGTTACAACTATCATAGAATCTTGTGTAATTTTAAAATATATTCGGGAGACATTTTTCTTAGGAGAACCTTTTCTACGAAGTCAAACGCTTAAAAAACCCAACAAACAGTAGGCATGAGAGGGAGTGGAGTTCATATATACCCTACTCTTTTCAGTTTGCTTTGTGATTGCGAAGATTTACAGTGGAGGTTTCAAACTTGTAGACCCCCCAAATCATAAGTTAATTAATTACATTAAAATATAATTGGGAAATATTTAACAAACTAATAAAAATACAATACAACATAGGTAGTGTTAATTTGTGGTTTTCTAAGTCAATATATGACCCACAGAAATCCATTTCTATTTGAGTTTGGCCCCTTTGAGATAGAGAACACAATTTAAAAAAACTCAACACTTCTCCTTCTCAATTTAAGAAATAAATACACATATAACAAAAACCATTTGAAGTTCTGTCATGGATGCATGGAATTCCCCAGTCATATATGAGGTCATTGGCCATTGGAATCAGTTCAGAACATTGTCATTCCCAGAACTCTGTTCTACTTTCTCCCACCACTACCAAAAGGCCCCTCTGGCTTTGCTAACTGGCTTCCCTACTGCCCTTACCACTTGTTAGAAACTGTGGGTGCAGTGGCCCCTTATCTTGATTTAAACCCGTGTGCATAACAAAATCCTCAAGAGACTCAAAGTGGATCAAAGGGGTGAAAAATCTTTACTAAGAAAATAAGGTGGAGTAAAACAAAATGACAAAACTACAAAATAAGAAATTTCTGACTTTGCCTGGTTATGAAATAAAGATAAATTAAGCTCTGCTCCTAGTGTTGTTTGGGACATTCAAATGTGATATGATTCCCAGTCCATTGGAGAAGACTTACTTACTTCAAGCAGCTTCCAAAGCAATCATATTCTAATTAGCCATTAAAGTTCAGACAGACATCTTGGACTGCACCATGAGGGTGATGTAACCTATTTTTATTTGACACAACATGAATTAATCTAGTGTGGAAGCAGGAGATGAGACTCTATCAGAGAAACTGCCTTCCTGTGGGAGAGTCCTTTCACCACCCATCCCTGGCCTTCAAACTGCAGCTCCATCCTCATCCTTCAGTTCTTTCACAAGAGCCAGCTGGAGGACTGCTGCTTTGTAGGCAGCTCAGCCCTAGAGAATGGAACAATAAATTCAGGAAGATATTGTGGGAAAGAATTTTGTTTTTTTTCTTGCCTGTTATCAGACACTCCTCCCTGCCCCGCCCCCCTGCCCCCACCACTGTGTTTTACACATCACAAACAGTTCCCATCATCCTGAGAGAAGCAAGGCCTGATGAGAAGTGTTTACTAATGTCTCTCTTTGCTCCATAAATGACTATAGGAGCCAACATTTGGAAAAATAAAATTAATGGGAATATGAAATAAACTGTACTATAAAATTTCTGTGATTTCTGTAATAGGGGATTAACTCTATGAAGAAAAAAATGAGAAAGAATGGAAATGGATATGACTTCCATTTCAGGTCCAGAAATAGACAAAATAGGTTGAATTAATATGGCTGCTGTTCCTGGAGTCTTTTAGTCCCAAACCATGTAGATAATGATTTACCGAAAGAACAGTAGCAATAGTATGGTCCAAATTCATGCACACATAGTCAGTCAAAAAGCATTTATTGATTAATACTATATGCAAAGAGAGGAGAAGAAATGGTCCCTGAGAGAGTCTTTGGTACTTTCCCAAGTTAGGGGACATGGTATAGATGATGATCTAGCAAGGAAAACTGAGAAAGAATGTTCAGACAGGTAGCAGAACCAGGAGAGGGCAGGGTCAGACCCATAGAGGAGCAAGTATCCAGGAAGAGAAGGAGATCAACAATGTCAAAGGCTGCAAGGTGTTTAGGAAAGATAAGGATTGAGAAAAGCCTGTCAGATTTGGTAATAGCTTTGGAGAGAGCAATTCCAGTTGAATGATGTAGGTTGGAACCTAGATTAGTTAGAAGAGTTAGAAGAGAATAAGCAAAGAGAACATGGAGGTGGTGAGTGTAGAAAACTTTTTCTAGGAATCTGACTAAAAATGGAGGTGAGTTATAGAGCAATAGCTTAAGGGTACATTAAGGTCGAGTGATTTTTTTTAGTATAGAAAAGACCGATATATTTGTAGGTAGATAAGAAAGAACCAGGAGCTATAGAGAAGTTGAAAAATAATGAAAAGGGGAATGTTTGTGTGGGAAATCTACTGGAAAAGACAGAACGGGGTAGGATCAGAAGAACATTCATTAGGGTTGACCTTGGCCTTGGTGAAAAGGGTTACCTTTTTCATTTGTCAGAGAATGGAGAAAAGGAGGTGAGAATGGAAGATGATTTTTACAGAGTATAGAGAAGGGGAGAAGAGAGTTTTCATGTCAAATGACATGTATTTTCTCTATGATGTATGAGGCAAGGTCCTGAGCAGAGAGAGTGGGGTGGTTGGAGTGGTTTCATCTTCTATTCCTCACCCTCTCTCACTCCACTCACTACAAGAATACCCTCCAACCCACATATTTTATTTTAAAATTTGAAACTTTTTCATAATTTATTTTCTCTCCCTCCTACTCCTCCCCCAACTGAACAATAAAAAAAGAGAAAATAAAACCTTCTCAATATATGCAGAGTCCAGCAAAATAACTTCCCAAATTGGCTATATCCAGAAATGTATAACCCACTCTGCATTTTAAGACTATCATCTCTCTGGCTGGACATGGGTAGGACACTTCATCTCCAAGGCCCAGGAATCATGTTTTGTCATAATTTTCATTAGGATTCTAAAGTCTTTCCAAGCCCCTCCCCATAATATTGTCATCATTGTATAAATGGTTTTCTTAGTTCTGCTCCTGTCACCTTGAATCAGTTCATAGAAATCTTTTATTTCCTTTGAAAATCTCCATTTCCTAAGGTATAATAATAATCCATTACATTCATATACCATGCTTTGTTTAGCACCTCCCTTAGTTTCCAGTTTTTGCTACTATGACAGGAGCTTCTATAATATTTTTGTACATAAGTATTAATTATATATATATAATGAATTATTGATTATATAGTGCTTATTATGTTTCAGGCACTGTGCTAGGCACTTTACAATTATTATCTCACTTGGTCCTCACAACTGCCCTGGGAAGTATGTGCTAATAACATCCCCATCTCATAGATGAGGAAATTGAAGCAAACAGAGGTTGAGTGACTTGTCCAAAGTCACACATCTAGTAAGAGTCTAAGACTGGATTTGAACTCAGGTCTTCCTAACTCCAGGCCCAAGACTCTATCTACTACAGCACCTGGTTGCCTCTATAAACCCATATATTTTAAAGAAATGGAATATAGCCCTTTATATGATTAGGTACATGTTTAAGGTCTAAAGGAAAGAAAAAAAAGACTGAATGAAAATCAGATATTTCTAAAAGAACGTAGCCAAGACTCATTGGCTATCCCTTCTGATTAGGATTCAATTGAGTTCTATTAATGTTTGTTTAAGTGACTATGGAAAGAGTTCTGAACCTGGAGTGCTGAACTCAAAGTTGTGGGATCTGAGTTGAGACCCTAGATCTGCCACATACCACCTTTACCTTGGGCGAGTCGTTTGATGTTTCTGGACCATAGTTTCCTCATATATAAAATGAGAGAATAGGATTAAATAGCCTATGAGGTTTCTTCCAGCTCTGGAGTTATGATCCTTTAGTTAATGACTCTTGTGTGCAAGGCACTGTCCCGGGTGCTAGAAATAGCAAAAGAGAACGTTCCCTCCTCCTCCCTATGGCCTTACAATAGAATAGTCTTTTAAAATAATGAAGCATAAGGGAAACATATTCAGGAATTGACTAGCTTAATAATGTCATTTGTTGAGCAGAAGGTGAGTAATGATGATGATGATGACAATAATAATAACAACATTTATATAGCATTTAATATGTGCCAGATACTGTATCAAGCACTTTATTATTATCTCTTTCGATCTTCACAACAACCTTTGGTTGTAGGTGCTGTTATCACCCCCATTTTATAGATGAGAAAACTGAGGCAAGTAGAGGTTAAACTACTTGCCCAGAGTCACACAGCTAGTAAGTGTCTAAGGTCATATTTGAACTCGGGTCTTCCTGAATCTAGGCAGAGTGACCTATCCACTGTACTTGGGGATGGGTTTTGCCCTTGTGTCCCCAGTGATTAGCACAGTGAATTGTACAGACTTGTATACAATAGGGATTAATATGTATTTGCAGGTCTGAAAGACAAATAGATCCTGTGAGGGAGGAGAGGTCTGTTACATACCAGCAAACCTGGGGCTTCTAATTCAGTGACTGGCTGACAGTGTTTGGAATTAAGTGATGATGGACTACATAATAAGCAAATAATTCAGTTTAGCCTTAAATAAGTGGCACTATCAATGTCACCTTCTATCTGTCAACAAGTTGTTTTAAACCCCTGTTAGGGCAATCTGTGAAGGGTTGCTGTAGTCCAAAAGATTCATTTCATTCATTCATTCATTTCATCTTGATTGCCCTTCAGTGGAAAAAGCTATGGAAATTTCCAACATTTCATACCAGCTACAGACACACTTCCATAAATTAGTAAGGACATCATGGAACTAAGAATTTATTCATGTATAAGGTAGAAGAGGGCATAGCTCTGTTTATGTATGTTGTATTTACTAATGTGTACATACATTTCCCCCAATAGAATGTAAACTCCTCGAGAGTAGGGACTGTTTTATTGTTTTCTTTGCATCCCTAGCACTTTGTACAGTTGCCTAGAACATAGTAGGTGCTTAATGGACACTCTTTAAATTAAGTCTATGCAGAGCAGTGGTGTCAAATATAAATGGTGCCACTAAACTGCACATAAGGATCTCTGTGGGCTGTGTATCAATTTAGAAAACTACAAATTCACATTATCTATGTAATATTGCATTTTTGGCATTATTAAGTATTTCTCAATTATGCTTTAATTTAGTTTTGGCTGCACTGGAGAGTTTTGTGGATTGAGAGTTTGACACCTCTGGTGCAAAGGAAAGAATTACAGATTTGGAATCCGAAGGTCTGCTTTCAAATTGACTCTGTCACTTTTTATGTAACTGATCAAATAGTGTAAGTGCTCATTGTGCAAGTAGATTAGTTAGCTCGTGGGATCATGAGATCATGGATCTAGAGCTGGAAAGGACCTTAAAGGTCATTTAGTCTCATGTTACAGATGAGGTATCAGAGGTCCAGGGAAGGCAAGTGATTGATCCAAGGTCACACAGATAGCATTTCACACAGGTAGGATCTGGACCCAAGTCCTCCGACTCCAGGGCCAAGGTTGCTTTTTTCATTGTACAGTGCTGCCTCCGCTTTTTTATCTGTAAAATTACAGGGAATGGACAGGGGAACAGATTAGCGAGATGATCTCTAGGGTCCCTTTCAGCTCCAAATGTATGATCCTGTGATTAAATTAGTTAAAAGGGTCAGACCAGTGGTGTGCCAGTTAATACTTAACAAGCAACTCTGGAAACACTTTCTTTAACCCATAACACACTTTTAAATTTAATTTTCACTATTAACATTTTTCTCCATCACTTTCTTAAGTCTGCAATAAAGAAAACAATAAATCAAGCCCTGATTTGTAGTGTTTGACAATTTTAGAGGTGCAAATGCTCACTTTTGAGACTTGGGCCCAAGCTGACTCCAGCATACCTCAAACTGTCAAGAGGCTCAGACCACTGCAGGTACTTCCTGAATCCCTGAAGCTCAAAAAGAGTGATTCACCTTCCACAGGTTGTGGAACAAATAGCCCTTAGGAACAGCCCTTCTCTCCATTGCTTAGGTGTCCAGAACAATTTCCTATAACCTGTGCCACATTACAAATGAACCTAACCATAGAATATAACAGACACAAGCCTCTGGGGCTCCAGGGGTGAGGAACCTGCAACCTGGAGGCCACATGTGGCCTTCTAGGTCCTTGGGTGTGGCCTTTTGATTGAGTCCAAGTTTTATAGAACAAATCCTTTCATTAAGGAGATTTGTTCTGTGAAGTTTGGGTTTAATCAACAAAAAGAAGTTGAGGATTTAGGGGGCCACATGTGGCCTTGAGGCCACAGGTTGGGCTATCCTCTTTTAGGATAGATGTTTCTGTTCTCGGTGATAAAGCATCTCATACTCCAAAGGGTAATTCTTCTACTGCAGGAAATGCACAAAAATAACACAAAATAATTTCAACTATTTCCAGATGAATTCAGCAAGTATTGTTGAAATTCACTGATGAGAGAATAAGTCAGAAATTGACTAGCTTAATAATGTCATTTGGTGAGCAGAAGGTGAGTAATGATGATGATAATAATAATAATAACAACATTTATATAGCATTTAATATGTGCCAGACACTGTATTGAGCACTTTACTATTATCTGTTTTGATCTTCACAACAACCCTTGGTGGTAGGTGCTGTTATCATCCCCATTTTATAGATGAGGAAACTGAGGCAAACAGAGGTTAAGCCACTTGCCCAGAGTCACACAGCTAGTAAATGTCTGAGGCCATGTTTGAACTTGGGTCTTCCTGAATCTAGGCACAGTGGCCCTAGAATAAGGGTAATTGGCACTGAGTTTCACTGGGATTGTGAATTGATAGAGAGGTGAGTGAAACTCACTCAGGTTGGGGCAGATAGAGGTGGGGAGATGTCAGGGAGATTCATATTGGTGCCTAGAAACAAGCCTTTTGACATCAGCATGAATGTCATTAGGGAAAGAGCTGGGTGCTGGATGGACTTCTGAAGGAAGGGATCCCATTAAGAAAGTTTCCATGTTGCACTGTTATGTTAGTAATTATCACTGAGGAAGTTAGTCTGGGATTAGGACCAAATTTCCTAAAGCTGGATTTGTAAACAGAATGGAAGTAAGGTTTCCTGTTGGTGATAGCAAGATTGACCACTGAACAACAGCCTGTTTTGCAGCAATGACAAGTCTGATTGTTCTGAAGCTTGACCACGCATCCAAGTTTGGGGGCTGATTAGATTAGCCTCCCATTGGGAGTTTCAGTTTCTGGTATGCTGGGAGCTAGCTCTTAGAAGATGGGTCTTGTGCTTTTGAATCATGTTTTTAAACCCTGATGGGGGCTCTGTAATTGACAGAAAGACTGAAACAAAGGTTAAATGTCAAACAGCCTAGACATGAGAAGCCCAATGCTAATCATTCATTATATAGCTCCTAAAGACAACGACATGGCATCCTACACATCTTTACGAACTGGATTTCATCATGAGCCACTAAAAGATCCATTTTGTTTCTCAATACAGAAATTAAATATGATATCTAGCACATCTAGAGAACATGTATGGTATATATATACTCACACAAGAAGGCTAAAAAATCCTCCACAGCATAGATGGGTTGAATTCTGAGTCCATGTGTGAAATAGGAAAAAGAAAGATAATCTCAGTTGTCCTCTGGGGGAACTTTTTTGAGACAAAATCCAAAAGTGATTCTACCAATGTTAAAAAATAAAATCCCCCCTCCCCGTCCCAACAACCCCTTGAATTGGATAACATTAACTGAAGTTGAACTGATCAAAACAACTTATATACACAAACCAAGTGAATTATTTATTTAACATGATTATGCACATACAAAGAAAGCCAGAATGGAAAAAAGAAAAATAATAAAAACGCTTTCATAATATTCCCCATCCTTCCACTCATACCCATGCCTTTTGCCAATATTTGCAATAGAATTGCAATTTGAATCCTAGGGAAGGTATGTGCCCAGTTGAAGAGTCTAAAGAATATGGGGCAAAAAAAAATTAGAAAGTCCCCAAATGTTAGAACAATGAAGAAATGTGGGATTAATGAGAGAAAATTCATGCACATGGAGTCATAGAAGCATTATTTACAGCAAGATCTGAGGTGATTAGACAGTCAAAGCAGTTAGTAATTAAAAAGCATAAGGCTCTGATTTGCCACAGAAATATTGGTTCAGGAAGCTCAGAACAGAATTCAGAACTCTTGCAAAATTTATCATGAAAACCCTTGGAGCCAGAAGCATTTAACATCTGGAGTTCTGAGTGTTCCAGTTCCAAGTTCCAAGTGTCCAGCCCCTTTGAGAAGGCAAACAGAACCTGCCAGGGGCATCTCCTGGCAAAGAAGTCACACAGAGGCAAGAACCAGTACAGGACAACATAACTTTTTTGCATTTGCTCTACCTTTAGACACATTTGACATCACTCTCCTGGCACTCAGTCTTGGCTTGGGTCTGGTTCTCTGTCTTGTCTCATTATATCACTGCCTATCCCAATCAACCCTTTGACCCATCCTGGGCATTCTTGGCATCTTATCCTGGCTCTTTTTTCTTGCCATGGTGTTCTGGACATCTGTTTTGAGGAGTCCTGCTTCAGCATCAATATTCTCGGTATTGGCTGACAATACTCTCCTAACATTCTGCAATCCCAGTTTCCACTCTGTTCCGAAACCATCTGACAGCTACCCCCAGAGCATGGGGAGCCCCACCCACCCAGGCCTCTTTGGCCTCTATTCAGTCTTAATTCCCCACACCCTTTGCTGGAAGGGACTACATCATTGGATTTAGCTCCCTGGGAGCTGGGAATTTTTTGCAATTTGGGAGTTCTTGTCTGAGGGTTGGTTGGATAAGAACAGCAAATATGTTACATGTAAATAAGTGTTATTTCTAATAAAAACAATCCTCTGAGAATAAACTGATATTGTCCATAAAGTTGCTTTAAAAAGCTCTATAAAAATTCAGGGCATTATTGAACATTATGAGAGAAAAATTACTAAAATAATTTTAACAGTTATCACAGAAATAGAGGTACCATTGCATATTCTGTAATAGAGTCCATTATGGGGATTAATTGACCTACCCAAGGTCACATGGCATTGGCAAATCTGACTTATAAATTCAGTTGTAATGGCTCCAAGTTTAGTACCCCAAGTTCAAGACTCTTTACTTATTTTTCCATTTCCATTTTCATAGGCATGGGTTGAGTAAATACAAGGTCACCTTTGGGGCTGATTCATAAAATTTTAATGGGTCTATCATGTCATCAATGTAAGTATTTACTCCAAAAGTGATGATCCTAGCTCATCCTTTATACCATCCTTTATACCATCCTTTATAACTTTTGTCCCTGTTCTGTTGTAAATCCTCTACTGGGAGCACGGGTGTGCTGGTAAATGTTTAATAAGTGTCTCTCAAAAAATTGTACACAGGACATGATTTTAGGTGTAATCTGTATTATTAGTACTTTATTAAGTCTAAGCAATCAAGAAAACAATAAAGCAAGCCTTGATTTATAGCGTTTGCTTGCTGAATTCCAAGATGTAAATACTCATGGTGAAAATTTGACAATTGGTGTTTTAAAAATGGGTCTGTTTCAGGGAGAACCTTTTGGTTGGTCATAAAAATGCACTGCACAATTTCCCAAGAATAATCCCTGCTCTTCTCTTCCAATTCAATTCCAGACCCAGTTCATTGTCCATATGTAATATCCCTCCAAGCTGTAAGCCCTGATGGACCAGCTCTATGGGTTGTATATACTCAGAGGCTATTAGGTATAAGGTAAAGTATTTCAGAGAGACTCACATATATATATATATGTATTTTTCTATTTGGGACTGAAGCCACTGAAGAAAAAGAATAAACTCAAGTCACATCTGTAAGCTTAAAGCATAAGGATGAAGCTCATATAATCAAGTCATGGAAAATCTGAAATTGTATGCCAAAACTAAAATACAAATTCATCTGCTCCCCAAACTTTAAGAACTTAAGTGATTAAATGGAAAGGGATGTCTGTATAGCTCTGGCCATAACCTCATCAGCTCCGATGAGTTGATTTTTCACCTCTATGCAGATGATTCCCAGATCTATATAGCCAGTCCCCTTTTTCCCCTGAGTTTTACTACATCATCACCAATTACCTGTTGGACATTTCAAACTGGATGTCCCAGAGACATGTCAAACACAATATATCCAAAACTGAACACATTCTCTTTCTTCTTCAACCCTGCTCTCTTCCAGATCTCCCTATTTCTGTGGATAACACCTTCTTTCCTCTAGTCTCCCAGGTTCATGACCTTGGTATAATCCTCAACTCCTCACTCTCACTCTACATATGCACTCAGTTGCCAAATCTTGTCATTTTTATATTCACAACATCTCTCACAACTGAATGTTTATCTCCTCCCCTGTAGCAGCTATCGTCTGAGTTCAGGCTCTTATCACTTCTCACATAGATGATTTGCAAGATTCTCTCAATTGGTCTATCTGTTTCAAGTCTCTCTGCATTCTTTCCAGTCTATTGATCAATCAACATTTATTAAGTACCTATTGTACTATGCTAAGTGCTGGTGATACAAAGAGAGGCAAAAGACTGTCCTTGACCCAAGGACCTGTTTATTTGTCCTCACAGCAGAGGTGCTGGTCCTCCTTGAACAACCCATACACATAAAGAGCTTACAATCAAATGAGAGAGACAAAAAGCAAATAAATACATACAAAGAAAGATATAAACAAGATAAATAGGAAATAATTAACAGAAGGAAAGAAAGGCACTAGAATTAAGAGGGGTTGGGCAAAGCTTCCAGTAAAATATGGGATTTTAGTTGGAACTTAAAAGAAGCCAGGGAAATCCATAAATGGAATTGAGGAGGAAGAGCATTCCAGGCATAGGGGATAGCCAGAGAAAATTCCTTGAGCCAAGAGATGGAGTATCTTGTTTGTGGAACAGCTGGGAGGCCACTGTCACTGGATGGAAGAGTACATGTTGAAGAATAAGGTATAAGAAGACTACAAAGGTAGGAGGGGGCCATGTTTTAAAAGGCTTTGAATGCTAAGAAGAACATCTATATTTGATTCTGGAGGTAATTGGGAGGTACTGGAGTTTATTGAGTCAAGGGGTGACAGAATTGGATGGACATATACTTTAGGAAAATTACTTTAGTGGCAGAATAGAGGATAGATTGGGATGGAGGAAGACTTGAGGCATAGACTCACGAGCCGGCTATAGTAATAATCCAGGAGTCAGATGACAAGGGCCTGTACTATATGAGTGTAAGAGGACAAAATGGGGCATATATGAGAGATGTTGCAGTGGCAAAATTGACTGACTTTGGCAATAGCTTGGAGAGATAAATCCTCCACATTGCTGCCAAAGTGATTCTCCTTAAGTAAGATCTGACCATGTGACTCCTGTACTCAATCAATTCCAGTGGCTCCCTGTTCTCTCCAGGGTCAAATACAAACTTCTCTGTTTAGCTTTTAAAGCCCTTTATAACTTTGTTCCAATCTATCTTTCCAGCCTACTTGAACATTATTCCCCATCCCGTACTCTGTGATCCAACCAACTTGGCCTTCTCTTTTCCTTATGTAACACACTTCATATTCCATCTCCATCCTTTTGCACAGGCCATTCCCCATGCCTGGAATGCACTCTCTTTTCACCTCTCCCTCCCAGGATCCTTTTTCTTCAAAATGTAGAGCAAACATAGCTTTTTACAAAGAGATTTTCCTGATTCCACAACTGCTTATACCCTCCCTTACAAATTAACCTTCTACTTTGTATTTTTTATATTCCTTTTCCTTTTATTTATTCGATATATACTCATATGTGTATTTGTCATTTTCCCATTGGTTTTAAGTTCCCTAGAAATAAAGATTGTTTCACTTACTTTATTTGTATCTCTAGCACTTAGGCATTTGAGAAATACCTGTTGATTGATTGAAATCAGTATACATGATGGAAGAAAAACTTAAATGACTATATTTTTCATTTAGATCAAATTATTAAGGATTCAGTACATGCATATTTTAGACATCATCTGCTTAGGAGATATCATAATCACAGAGCAATTAAAAATCAGTAAAGCACACAGGAAAAGTCAGAGATAAATTAGAACCAACAATTTGTACTGGTTTCCTGACTACAAAAGGAAGGAATTGTTGTTTCAACAATTTTTTCGTTTTATTTTCCATTAATTTTGGAATCCTTGTCTTCAAGGTTATGTTCAAGTGTTACTTTCTCCATGAAGTGTCCTTTGATTTTTCCTAGTTGTTAGTACTCTCTCCCTTCCCCCCAATTTCCCTTGACCTACATTTATTTGGGTACTTTTGTATTCCTCAATAGAATTTAATGTTCTTGAAGGCAGGAATGGTTGTGATTGTGTCTTGGTATTCTCCAGCTCCAGCACTAAGCACATCTTTCACATGGTAGGCATTTAATAAGTACTTGCTAAAATGCATTGTTGTTAAAGACTGTAGAAGAGGTATAGTTTTAGAATTATAACATTTTAAAATTTTCTGTTTCTTCTCTTTGAACCCATTTTACAAAGATTATACATCAAGTAACTGGTTATCCTTGAAAGTAGTCTTCTTTAGAAAAATGCAAATTAAAATAACTATGAGGTACAACCTTATGCTTATCAAATTGGCTAATATGACAGAAAAGGAAAATAGTAAATGCTGGAGAAGATGTGGGAAAATTGGAGCACTCATGCATTGTTGGTGGAGTTAGGAACTCATCTAAACCATTCTGGAGAGGAATTTGGAACTATGCCCAAAGGGCTATAAAACTGTACATACCCTTTGATCTAGTAATACCACTACTAGGTCTGTATCCTAAAGAGATCATAAAAAATGAAAAAAAGACCCACATGTACAAAAATATTTATAAGTAACTCTTTTTATGGTGACAAGGAATTGTAAATTGAAAGTATGCCCATCAATTGAGAAATGACTGAACAAGTTGTAGCATATGAATATAATGGAATACTATTGTGTTATAAGAAATAATGAGCAGGTAGATTTCAGAAAAACTTATATGAAAAGGAAAGACTTATATGAACTGATGCTGAGTGAAGTGAACAGAACCAGGAGAACATTGCACGTAGTAAAAGCAACATTGTGCAATGACCAACTTTGGCAGACTTAGCTTTTCTCAGCAATGCAATGATCTAAGACAATTCCAAAAGACTTCATAAATGCTATCCACATGCAGAGAAAGAATTATGGAGTCTGAATGCAGATCAAAGCATACTATTTTCTCTTTTTTCTTTCTCATGGTTTTTCCCTTTTGTTCTGATTCTTCTTTTACAACATGACTAATATGGAAATATGTTTAATATGATTGTACATGTATAACCTATATCAGATTGCTTGCTGTCTTGGGGAGGAGGGAGGAGAGGAAAGGAGGGAGAAAAAAAAATTTGGAACTCAAAATCTTATAAATGTGAATGTTGAAAACTAAAAATAAATAAATAAAAGAAAGTAGTCTTCTTGGGAAACTATGAAAGGATTCCAGTGATGAATTCTATTACTCAAACCAAGATGAGAGTTCCTCTTTGGAAAATCCCTTCAGAGTTATTTCATGAACCATCCAGGAAAGTCAGTGTTCTCACTTTATAATATTATTTATAATTATTAAAAAAAAGCAAACTA